CAATTCACTCTGCTCAATATAAGAATCAATACCAAGGAATTATAAGCTCTAATAGCAAGTATGTGACCTGTGCAATTTACATGATCATTCATCATTATTGGAACAATCAGTTTGACAGAAATAGAACCTGTTCAATAATTTGAAAAAAGAGTTTTAGAGATGGTGTAGAATGTCTATAGCTGTTCAACAGGAGAAAATTTTGTTGATGTCTTATTGTTCTCTAAGCTAAATGTTGGTTTTAACACATAAACAAACTACGCAGTTCACAGAATGTAAGACTCAAAAAAAGATGAACAACTCTCTCGTTCTCTTTCTCTCTGATATCAGAGTGTTTGGCGAAACTCGGAAAATATTGACAAACAATTAAATTTAATTGATAGGTTTTTCAGAAAGGAAATTTGTTTTTCTTTTTGTCACTGTTTGTTACTATCCAATGCAAACAATGTAGAACCTGTCATGTATATATCTGGACCAGTTCACATTAACAGAGAGAGATGGAACTATTAAGACAAATACCATAATAGTCGAATTAGTAACACTATCAGTGGAACTAGAAAATACTAGGCGTAATTAACATGATTCGAGAAGAAAGAGCAGATTTCCAGAATAAAAGTACAGGTATTTGATGACTAAGAGTCAATGTCAATGCGCTATCGTAACCAATTTTGAGTCATGTCATTCAAAGCCTTAACCATTTTGCCATGATAATCGAGCAGATTTGAACCACGTAGTTTAAACCGACATACATGACTCAACGCAGTAGTCAACAACTTCATGGAATGATGTTACGTGTTAGTTTGGGTACCAATAGCTTTCTTATAACCTAATCCTACACCAGTGAACATCACCCATCGAAGTAGGTGATGGTTGGGCATACGTAACACATGTCGTATCAGTTGATGAAAATCAACAGCCCCATCATATCATCTATCATCGTTATCTAGTACAATGCATGTGTAACCTCAACATTGCTCACTTGATGTTCCAAACATACAAGTGCATGGCTTTAAAGGCACTCATTTGTTAAAAATCAATAACCTGAGAATGATCGCTATTTTTGAAGGCCATATTTTATAGCCATAAAGTAGAACACGACAAATATACTACTGTGTCGTCCTTCGGTCAATTGACGGACAATCTGCCTACGCCTGAAGTGACACAATCTAGCAAAAGCTTAGCAAGCTTTCTGAATCTGTACTGTTACGTTGTCAGATACTTCAATGTTTATTCACAACTAGGATTTAAACATTTTTTCATTGTCTTCCTGTGTGTTTGGAGAATTATCGTTTCAATCACGTTAATCAAATGGATGAATTGTAGTCGATCAAAAAATCAATATTTAACACATCAGTATTTCAGTCAAATCTCTCTCTCTCTCTATGTATATCAACCTACTTGTCCATTATTCCCCTCCCCTCCAAAAAAAACATACCATCACTCTAATGGATGAAATGGTATTGTTTTCCGTTATTTCTTCAATAAAAAAGAAACAACTTGTGTTATGATTTAAAAGTTATTCTATTGTTCTCAGTTGATACTCCCCTCTCTCCCGACGAGTCAGGAGTAGTTGAGGTACACATATATCTGTTTATCATCTATATAATCTCATATACAAATGACGTAATAAACAATGCCTTTATTATTTTGAAACATGGTAAAAACAAGAGAAAACATAAACAATCTATACCTCCCACCCCACTACTCCTAACAGAAAGAAAAATCATGCAAACAAACAAACAAACAAACAAGTAAATAAAAGAGAGACAGAAAAATAGTCCTGGTGTGCAAATAAAAAATATTTACGTACACGCAAACACACATACATAAATAATTTTATTCTTTGCTTTAGTGATTTTACTGGATATAAATAAGGTTTATTTTGATTTTTCTTTTTTTTAAATAACCATGTAGAAGTGAATACATAATGTTGATGATAATTATGTAACTCATTCAAAACCTTATATGCTATCAACTTCTAATTTCGACTATCAGATTGTTATAATCTAATGTTTGTGTTAGTTCTCATTACTGTCGATTGGTTTTATTATTAAATATAAGCGTAGTTTAGGTATTTACTGAGTCGTCAGTTCACTTTTCTTCCTCTTTTCTCTTCCAGATTCTTTTATGCACTGCTTCTTACATTCCCCCCTCCCTAGAACACAAGGTACCTTCAAGTTAGATGCGAGCCTACTAAAGACTGAACGTTATAAATAATAATCTTAGTGATGATTATAACGATGATCAGATTTTTTATGGCGATAGGATAGGGTAGAGGGAATAAATAATACTGAAGGGAAATGAAAAATTCCTCTTCTTCAAGTGAAAATCAGTTTATTCCCTCCTTTACTCTAGCTTGCTCTTACATTTACTCTGTGTACGTGTGTGTATGTCTTTAACGTAAAGGAAACTTAAACACTGACTTCAAAACACTATTTATTATTAATATTAATTATTAATGGCTTTATTCAATATTATATTTTGGTACAACATAAAATACTCAGCATCATCGTCATCCCCGTCGTTATGAAGTTGTAAAAATTATTGAACGTTGTTGAGATTACGAACTGATCTAAATTAAAAAACTACTGAAAGTCATAAGGCACTGGACAACCGTTTTATCCTGGCATGGGATTCCTCAATGGCAGTTAGATTACTACCCAGTAGTTTAGAGGTTGAGTGTTCGAATTAGAGACTGTAGGTGCCAGGTTTGTAACTGCGCACTGTTAAGTGGTTTCATATTGGGACGAAACGGCCGTCCGATCTTTTAAGGATTACAATAGTTGTCTAACTTAAACTGGTTTGTGATCTCAATAGTATCACTACCATTGTCGATATGAAATGAAATCGACCAAGAAGAATAAACGAAAACTGAGGTAAACACATACAGGGACACCTTGAGACAACTACTACTTTTGCAATAGTAATTTGTGTTTACTCATAAACTTGTAGTGCTTGTGGAATAAAAACAATGAATTCTAGGTAGATTATCCTTTAAGCTGAATATACTATACCTTATAAGATTTTCTTCTGAATGTTGAATGATAGGGGGAAAATAGCAAAAGTCATTAAAGGACGATGTGGGAAACATTATTGAGACTGTATGACTAGGCCATACAAGCGTCTTCACCTTACGCACCCCTTTCGTCTTTATATTGAATGTAGTGTTCGTTCGAAAAATTGCATTTAATCTTAAAAGTTTCTTACAAAACAGTATACTGTGGTTACCACGTTAAGGAAAGTTGTGACAGTTCCTGACTTCGTAAAATCAAATTACTTTGAAATAATAACTGATGTTCTAGGTCAACATTTTCAATGCTGTTCCGTCGTATCGTGAAAGTTCCCATACTTATACATTATAGATTGCTTAGTAAATAGAAAGGGGGGATTAAGTGATCATCATCAATATGTATGTCGACTAAAATAAGTAACCAATGAATCATCATTTAAAATCTAACCATATATCTTCTTGAAGCCACAATTATCAGAAATTTAAATACTGATTGATAAAAATTATACTCACTACGATGTCTAAGAGTGAGACCTTTTGTCCAAAATCCTCATTGACAGTAAGAATATAAGAGATAAGAATAGCTCAAATCAAAGAATATTACATTATAAACCTACAAAATCACATTATCTGTTCATTTCTATTGGTACTATTTCTCCGCATATGACATAATCATCTCCGAATTCAATGAGACATTTTTTTTATTAATTAATCCCTATTTCAAATAAGTACCATTCAAGAGATTTAATTTAGAGTTGAGTTGATGTTATCCATCATTTTATCCGTGTTAATGTTATTTGTTTTATCTAGCGTTTTGGAACATTCTTTCGTTCACTCATTACGTGAGTAGTGCATGTTAGAATGCAGTTCTCACCAAATGTTTCATTTCAAGAGTTTTGAGTTATTCTCAACTATGTGCTATGAACAAGTCAATGTAACAAAGCCCAACATCTAGGATAAAAAAGTGAATTAATTGAAAGTTAGTGCTTAACAATAAATCTCTAGTAATAAGTAGCACTCACTGAGTAAATAAACGGAATAACAACTGAAAAGACTGGATATAACACATTACTCGAACATGAAAAATGTGACAGATAACATCAACCGAAAAGTTGTTAACACAATAATAATAAAGATTATAAGATGGAAATTTACCTTCACAGTAATTTAACATAAAAAAAAGAGAAACTCTTTCTGTAGATATATTTCTTTTGAGATAGGTGGTATCTCAGTCGTAAAACCTTAGTTGCCTATCTAGACAACAAACAACCACTTACTAAGGTCAAAAGTGGGTTATAAATTCATGTGAAGAATTGAGATTAGGAGTTAAAACTAAAACTTATAGTCAGAGATTAAAACAAGGGTTTTCACCATTTATTGACATCTGGTATAATGCCTAGGCTAAATTCCTTGTGGAGGAGTTGTGAACATACACTCCCAAGAAGTTCTATATTAAGAAGAAAGCGTTTTATAGTGCTTTCAGCCTTTCAATGGTTGTTTAATTTAGATCAGGTCATGATTTCAATGTCAAACAAAACAAGCTGGTTATTCAATTTAGTGGAAAAATCCGAATTGTTCACTTCTCCATGAAATACTTGCTGATAAGGTTGTCTAGAAAGAAAAGTATAAACATCCAGCAGCTCAGAGACTATAACATACGTCGAAATTCCTTATCTTAAACTACAAATATATTACCCCATCATATTAAGGTAAACCCTATTATTAGTGTGGGGATTTGTGGAGATTGTAGTGTTTTTACAGTTGAATCCACAAGTCGATCTAAGCTAGACTACTGGACGGTCCAGTGCCTCCAGGTATTCAATGGTGGTCTAGCTTAGATCGACTCGTGGATTCAACTGTGAAAACCCTTTTATTTTAAGGCTATTATCAGACTATACTACAATAATAATGATGATATCAGTAAAATAAATATACAGCGGAAAGGAACTAACAAAAACAATCTGATCAAAGATATACATAAGTAGATACATACTTGTGGACTTATCGGAATTTTCAATAGTTCTAGCTTGTTTTTCCAATTCTATAACAGATAATTCCTGATTTACAGATGATTTCATTTGATGTTCTCTAGTTCTTGTTCTAGCGCCAACACTACTACTGCTATTATTATTAATATTAGATGACTTCCCTACTACTGACATAGTAGTGGTTATCGCAGCCATAGGCAACGAAGTCACCGTTGTTAATGCCGTTGATGCTAAAGTTATTGCTGGAAGGGGTGGGGGTGTTGGTGTCGTTGTTATCATCATTTCATCTTGTCTAGTTGCATCAAACCAACGTTGTTTAACAGTTTTATCAAACAATGACGATGTGAGGCTTGTATGAGAAGTGGTAGTAGTGACAGAGACAGCTGTAGGAGCAGCGGGAGGTGGAGGCGGAGGAGCAGGGACAATGGGAGTTGTGGTATTCGAGTCGAAGAATACACCATTTGCTGAGGCGGGATTAGAAGCAGCTACAGCCGCTGCAGCAGCAGCCGCCGCCGCTGCTGCTGCCGCGGCAGCAGTTGTATCAAATTCTTTAGGATCGAAATTTGTAGTATTGCCGCCACCAACACCAATACTACTGCTACTATTATTATTCGTAGCAGTAGTTGATCTTGGAAGCCATGACATTGACGCAGGGTTAGATAAACCGGAAGCTGCTGCCGCCGCAGCTGCAACCGCCATAGCCGCGGCAGCTGCGTTCGCTGATGTCGATTGATGAGGATGTTGAGGATCAGTTGCAGTTTGAAATTGACCAGTTAGAACGGGATGATGAGTTGACATACTGGTGATGATTTGGTTTTGCAAACTTGAAACACTTGACAATAATGCTGCCGCTGCACTAGCTATTAAAGCTGGATGACATGAAGTCGGTGGTGTAGATGGTGGGGGAATAGTTAATTTATCCACTATATTATTGTTAGATGATGAACAATCATTTGGATTAGTTGGAAATACAGGTAGAGCAGGTGACAAATTACTATTATTACTATTAGTAGTAGTATTATTACTACTATTATTATTACAGGGAATTTGATTTATCAATGTATTTGAATTATAAGTTGTATCTAATGTTGAATGATGATTTGATGTAGACCAACGTGATGTTAATGAATGTACTGCACTACGTCTATGATGTAATGGTAAATCACGTAGCACAGACATTGCAGTACAATCAGGTATAATTAATTGATCTGTAGACCATGATTCTGAAGTAGTTGTTGTATTACTATAAACTGGACTACAATGCATTGGATTATCAGTTCGATAGATTGAATTAATATTTTGTACTTGGGATTCGTATACGGCATCTGAAAAAAAATATATATATGATAGTAATTATTTTAGTGTAGCTTATTATTATGCTTAAAATAAGCAAACAACATGGCTTACATATTCGGTAAAAATAATGCAATTAATTAAACATTTTTAAGGTGTATAGGAAGTGTTCTCCCTTCTCGGTTACTTATATACCGTAGGAGGATATTTCCTCTTGAAGTATATATAATATGAACAATCTAGACTACAGTCAGTTTTGATGACCTGAAAGCATGACATCGAGTTCAAGGAACAATAGCTTGAAGCCGATTATATAGATGACATGGCTCAGAATCGGTCACAATAGCGTTGATTCATTCCCTCTCTATCTTCACTTAGATAATGAGTTCTAAGGATATCCTATATTGTTTTATTTCACAAATTCATTCATTTTCCTTGAATTGTACTAACTATGCCTAATCATTTCTAATACAAATAATACTGGTGGTCTAACATTGATCGGTTCATGATCTCAATTAATAGTCAACAATCTCCACAAACCTATACTGATAAATAATACTGTCATTATATGTTCATAACTTTAACATCTCTCGATGGTGATATGGTGTAACAACTTGAGCCTGAGATAATGCGATGAGTAATATGAAAGTATAACTTTTGAGACTATCATATGAAGGATTATTGATATTGTTATAACTAATAGATTTTTTTACAGTTATATTTCTAAGGTTTCGTTTGACCCATAAATAGTTATCATATATATATTGTCAGTTCAGATTTATCATCAATAATTATCTTCCTATTACTTTAGTTTGTATTACTTATGACTAAGTTATGTACATATTATAATTTTCGAATTGTGTTACTTGTTATCTAGTCAGACATTACAAAAAGTATTGTTAAAAGAGTTTTAAGTCATAATTATATCAAGTACAATTAAGAACTAATCTATGTTCATCTTCTGATTGAGCATCTTATATGGTGCATGCGTATCAGAGATACATAAGCTTACGCTGATACAGACCATAACATACACATGTGTATAAGCACTCTTAGAGAGATTGATGGTTGTCCCTCAATATTTTTCATAGAGTAAACTGTCTTTTCTCTTTTTCACACTTATACGGTGTATGTATGTCAGAAGTAGGCAGACTGACGTCCATGTACATCTTGAAATAAACAGCTAAAAGCGTTCTTAAGAGAGGGCTGATGGTCACCACTCTTCTCACCTGTACTTGCTGTACCTGTTTTTTTTTAGCTTGGACGGATTTTGTTTCATAGGGTAGATCTTTTTCGTCATATGGCAGACTGTCTACTCGATGTAAGTCAGGTCAAGCCCAGAGAGTTCATAACCTACATAAATAAATTACGCGAGCCGAGACTCATTTAATTCATATTTATAATCATGCACAAACTGTATCCCTATATGATTTTGGTGCCTTCAATTGTGGGTTTCTGAGTAGTCCGGTTACGATAGTGTGATGGATTAGTCTGGTCTCTGTCGACCGCCCAAGTTAGCTATTGAAATTTCCCCTACGACCCATCAGTTCCATGAGGAGGTCTTAAGTCGTATTTTACTGGCTTGTGCTACTTTCTGATAGGCTATTACCACTTTTCGTCTGGTAATTTATTTGTGCCCCAATGTTATGATTGGTTACTGTACATAGAGAGTTGTTCCATTTTCACTTCTTGTGGAGATTCTTGACTTTCATTGAAACTAATGAAACTTGACAATTTCCACAGCACTATATTGACAAATCCCTTTCAGTTCAATCTATTACTATCCACAATACAGCTGAACGAAAAAAATAAATCCAAAGAAATAACTAACTTGATTCTAATTCTGTCTTATCCGGTAATTCCAATGTTCCATTTGCCAAAGAATTAACAGTAGAGTCTAAATGTCCATTTGTATTCCAATTAAAAGAACCAACTTGATTAATTGTTTGATTGTTATTATTATTATTATTGCTATTACATCCAGGAAAACAATTTAATGGACAATTTCCAAATGATGCAGGAACTGAATTACATAATGATGAATTAGTTGACCATTCAAAACTTGTACCACCACAACGCGCTCTACTGATTAGATGTCGTACCATTGCATTTAAACGTTGTGATTCTTTACGAACCTAAATCATATCAATAATAATAATAAATCGTAAATAAAACAAACCAAATAAAATCAATGCATGGACGAAAATCTAAGACTTTTCATTAGTCCATCACTCCATACATTAACAGTAATTATGCAATTATTAGTGACTAATTTCAAGAGGTAAATCCCGGAGTTCTGTTCAAATGTGATTAGTGGGATTTAATCAGTAATGTCGATCTTTATACCGATTCTCCACTGTCAACCACAATCCAATATGAACAAAAACTCTGACTAAATAGCCATCCGTTAACGATGCACATATACCGAACGAGACTCATCAATAGTAGTCATAAACATCAACAACGTAAAATACAAGCCCTTAAGAACACATAAAGGTCAATACTATTTGGATAAGTAAATCCTTTGTGGTAGATTAGAATGGTCAAACGTCTATAAATAGAGAGCATCAGTTAACCCTTCAGTCAGTCCGTCAGTTGGCTGCTACGTTGAACCAGGTATGTATGTACATCAGTTCAAGTTCCTACACTCTATTGGCATAAAGAGATGGGGTTTTTAGGCCAAATCCTAGAGTACTAGAGGTAGTAACAGCATCAGTGGTAGTAGAAAAGATCAAACATAAAAGATACGGTTAAAAAAAGTAGATTGGTGAAACAAAACAAAAAAATCATCACGGATTCAAAACTTCACAATCTGGAAAAAGAAGAAGATTCAATGGACTTCCGTCATCGTAAACGATTCTGAATCATGTCATTCAAAGTCTCTAATCATTGGTTACGATAATCATTCCGATCCTGACCACGTAGACAACACCTAGCTACATGGCTTAGTTTAACTATCAGTGATTTCATGACCGGGTGTCATGTTTTGGTTTGGCTGCCCCTAGCCTTCTTTCAGTCTACTCCTACACCACACAACATTCGCCATCAAGGTGATCAGTGGTTAAAAAACGTAACGCAAGTCTCAACCACCCCGCTTTATGAAGTTTACTACCTCGTCAGTCGATTTGCCATCTTTACCTTACTTTCTCGGAGGTCTCAAAATACAAGAGTGATACTTCCAAGACATTGACGACTGAATACTAGTAACTTACAAATATTACCTATACTGAATTTTCATATTTCACATCCATGAAGTCGAATGAAGCAAACTACTGTGCAGTAAACAGGTCATTTAGTTGACAGACGGATATCTTCAGTATTGTCGGTTGGTCGGTCGACCATAACCAACATAAAATCCTTCAAGTAATCCTTGAACTAACTGATTTCAACTGTTGAAATAATCATAAAATTTATATCTAGTTAAATTTTTTGAAAACTCACAACACTTACTGGTTTCATCGCTTGTTATCCTCCAATTTTTATCATCAGTTTACAGCTACTCATCAATGGATTACTTATGTAAATTTTAAGTAATACTAGTTTATTTTCAGAATGAGGGTTTGTGAAGATTGTAGTAATCTAATAGTTGAATTCAAAAGTTTATTTAAGCTAGACCACATTAGAATACCTGGAAGCACTGGACGGTCATTCCTTCCTAGTATGAAACTCCTCAGCAATGCACACCCACGATCGAACACATGGGATTCGAACCCATACTGAGACGAAACGGCTGTTCAGTGCTTTAAAGTTTTCCATAGTGGTTTAGCTTAAATGAACCTATGAATTCAACCTGTTTATTTATTTATTACTTTGTTGAAAATAATTGAACACATACACAGGAAAGTTTCATCATATAGAATAATAATGTTTATATATGAATGAAACAAAAGACACTTACTGTTCTCAAGTACAATTCTAACCTTGATGCACATACTTCAACTTGAGCAAGGGCTTGTAATGATAGTTGATGTGTCTTATTCAAGTGTCTATAATAATAACAATAATGAGAGATGGGAAAATACATGCATTTGAACTGGAAAAAAAAATATAGGAAAAAGGAAGAGAGATAGATAAACGAAAATATCTAGTTATATTAATTGTATGGTTGATAGATTTTCTATTCTTGACACTTTTATGTTTATGGAATAGATGTATTATGGTTAGTAGTAGAATCCAGGAAACGTAATTCTTCGAGTTTCAGACTTATCAGCTTGATGTACCTGCATTCCGGTTTTGATAATTATTACATTGGGGTTAGTATCCAATACCTTTCACTCCAAAAGTTCGAAGTGTTATCCCCAAATTAATAAGTCTAGATAACCGTTAAATTATTCAATGAACATGATATTTATATCACTATTAGTTTTAATTCAAAATATATCAATACTAGGACACAAGTACATTCAACTGACAAGTTGGAAATAGGATAAGATGCTTATCTACTGGATTCCACTATTATCCCCAATTTATTTATTCTATAAAACATTTGACAGAATCCCTATATCAAATCAATCTGTACTAGATTCACATATATCAACAAAGGCTGATTGAAAATTCGGTTCTGAATATCAACAACGGGATAATTCAAACTCCTACCAATAATGACATAAACTATGCTGACAGATATAAGTAGTATGTAGCAACAATTGGAATTAAAATGTCTGTCAATAGAAGACTGAATTGAAGCGAACGAGAAGGGAAACAGAGAAAAATTGTAATAACAACAGAATTGAAAAAAAATTATGGAGCATGTAAAGGACGACTGAAGGTAGCTGTGAAAATGATATATTCAATGTATAGTTCACATGTATATATAAGTAACTAACTATAAGCTAGTTAATGTCAGTCAGTAGCTCCAACCATTACAGACACACAGAAATAAATAAATAATTTTAAGTACATTACAAATTACTGTGTTGGTAAATACAAGATATAATTTTTTTCCCTATCAATCTTTTAAAACTGAAAAAAATGATAGTCGAATGAGTACACTGAAATTTAAACATTTCATATATAATGGATAAATCGGTCAGTTAGTCGCTATATAGATCCTCGTACTTGTGAAGTGAGGAGTAGTAGACGTAGTAATTGAAAAGGTCAAACATAGAAGATACGATTCCAAAAATATTGATTGATGAAACAAAAAAAAATATCACGAATTCAAAACTTCACAATCTAAGAGAAGATGAAGAATGGATGAACTTTCGTCGTCTCGAACGATTCTGAATCATGTCATTCAAAGTCTCCAATCATTGGTTACGATAATCATGACGATCCCAACCACGTATTATACGCCTAGCTACATGGCTTAGTCTAATTGTCAGTGATTTTATGACGTGGTGTCATATTTTGGTTTAGCATTGCTACAGATGCTGGTTTACTGAGGGAAACACCTCCCTTTTGTCAACCCCTCTCACAGTCATCAGTAAAACTTCACTCTCGGAAATTAAGTTACTATTTTTAGTCTTACCATTATCCAACAGACACCCCTGCCATGGTAGAACCTAAAAGAACATGTTTTCCGACCAACATAGCTCGACTGAGTCATCACAATAGGCAAGCCTGACCACCTCATCAAATTAGCAGCTACGGTCGGAATATATAGTGGATAGATAGATATTTTTATATCAGTTTAACCAGCCATTCCGTTTGGAGTCTTTAGGGTTACTGCCGGTCTCATGCCCTGACAAAAGAGTGGAATTTGGGCATAGGGGTCAGCATCCTCATCCCGTGAAAAATACATTGCAGAAATAACTCCAATCAGTCAAACCGGTGGACAGCTTTCGCAATTGAAGATGAGTAAACGACAGGTGCTGATTGTTACAAATATAAAATATGCCTTTTGAAAAATTTCATGTCGAATTTATTTTTCAAATAAATATTGCGATATCGTAAAAGCTATGCCGAGAATTCATTACTGTAGCAAAACTTGCAGTACTAAACTAAGCTGGTGTTTTTATTATTACTGTCACTAGTTAGCAAAGATTTCCTCTCATGAATAAATTATATATATATATTAATAATTTCATCCCACTGTGTTAATGTGATATGGTAACTTGAACCGATGCACACGTATATCAGGTTTTAATTGTTTGTAACTGACTAAATGAATATCGAGACAACCCTCTCAGGCTGCAGACACACACACACAATAGAGATTGATCAATTACAAATCTTAACATCAGCAACGTGAAAACACAAGCCCTTACAAATAAAATTTGTATCTGTTGTACAAGTTAATGAATATTTAGAATCAACAGCTAAGTGCATAGCACTCTAAACATTTAAAGTGATAGGTATTATGTTCCAGAATTAGTGTGAACATCAACACTGAGATACAAGTTTATCCAGTTGACTAGTCCTAGATAGAACGAAACGCCCCTCCTATTTTTCGTTACTAATCACGAATCTAACTTTAATTTTTTTTTAATTCTGATGTTCTAATATTAATTCTTGGGAGGTTTTATTAATTAACTAAACAGTTCAAACTTATTTGTTCTAATTCTAGACACACAAACAATTGATTAATCATGTTTTGAACTATAAAAAAACATTCAGTTTGCTTCTTATCCCTCCTCCTATTGTTTACATTGTTTTCCTACATTAACTCCAGATTTGTGCAAGTATGTGCATCTATCCATGTGTATGTAATCTATCTTAAAATTGTAACAAACTGAGAGAAACCAAACACTAAATATATTTCAATTTTGTACACAATCTACATTTTCTATCCTTTTTCTTCTATAAGAATATAAATGGATGTCTGTAAAACAGACCAACTACAAACAAACAAACAAGAAACAAACGAACGAAAAAGTAAACAAATATACACACATCCGTTGACCTTGACCTGGTTTCTGTTTTCTAAACATGAGTTTTATCTGTCTAGACATACAGTTTGGTTTACTGAAATGACGTAAACTAGATTAAAACCAATTTATTTTCGATACAACAGCTGATTAACCACGACTGGCCGACACCTAGTTTAAGACATTGTGACATTAATTTTGTTGAATTATAGTAGATAATTGAATGATGACTAGATGGAAAAAACTAGGACATACAATATACATACAAATAAACAAATGTAATCACTACGTTAACGAAAAGATAATACTACTTATGCTACTTATGGATTTAAGTAGTGTGATATTCTGTCGAAAAAGTTAAACTTCATTCATTTTATAGGCCAAATAACAGTTTCACATGTCATGAGTACAACTTATCACCTTTCATTCATACATACATACACATAATCAGACTGATCTTAATGAAAAGATTGTGCGTAGTGTCGAAATATTGGCACAGATACAAAAATCCTTTACGTTTTTGTATTAATTTGTGTCACAGTTGTGTAACTGTCTACTCTCTGCTATTTTATAACCGTCAAACATGATATTTGCAACTAGTTAATCAATGAGTAGTGGTCAATGTGATATTTGTCTAGTCACTGAGTGTTGATCGAATTTTTATCATTCAGGTTGTAATGTGGTCGCTGGTCTAATCGATTCAATATTGTGTGCACTATGATGATATATAAGGTAGTTTTTTGAGGTAATCAACAGAAAACCCTATAATGACCTAGGTTTTGTGCTAGTTACTACTTTTCACAAAGATGTACATGTAATCTTTAGGGAACTGACGCTCCCAATATCAATTATTTAAAATCAGGAGGCAATTGATAGTTGTCCAATATTGACTAATTTCGAGGGATAATTCATGGAGACATAACAAGAATCCATGATCAATCTAATTCAACCATGTTAAATGTGAAGCAATTATCTAACAATACCATTGAGACATGGTCTCGTGAATCGATTGTAGATGGACATATAAACCATCTACAATAGATTGATCACTATGTGGTGATCAATGTCATGTATGTCAAGTCGTTCTGAGTGCAGATCGAGTCCTATTGACCTAGTTGCAATATGGCCAACAATCTAGGTAACTTGACATTGCGTGAACTATGTTGGGATAAGATATTCTGTAACGACACTGGAATTGTTCATTGCTACACGAATCCACACTTAAACATGACATCCTACTTCTCTTACCGAGATTTTCAAATTTTGCTACACAAGGGATAAATGTATCGTAAAAATTATCCAACATTTACATCTTTCTAAATTATTTACTCTTATATACATCAACATTTCTCTTCATTACATGTTACTTGGATTATTGTATCAACCTGATAATACCTGGAAACTGGTATCCATTTCATATAAATTATCAAAAAGCATTTGAATAAGCTCACTATTCATAATCTTGACGAAATTTTGATTAGTAGCTGAGTAGGAAATGAGTTGTGCGTTTGAAATGAAAGCTATTGGATTCAGGTCCCAATGGAATTGAAATCAACATTGTGATACAGGTATATCAATACAACTGACGAGTGGCTAACTGGATTCGATTAATAACTACAATCAATCTATCCTATATGATAATTTCCAGGATAAATTTATTTATTTAGACTTGCAAGTACAGTGCATCTAAAGGGAACGGTGTTGAAAATCAATCATAGCCAAGTGCATTGTTAAACCTTAATGAAAATACGATAACGACAATTGTCTAATGACTCCCATAGAGTGGTTTACACTTTGCATCAGTTTATGATCAAAATAAATTGATAACGGTATTCGTAAGTTAGTTAATTAGATGGTACGCGTTACAAGGTGTATATTGAAACTTTTTGAAGGAACTAATACTTCATAATTGGTATTTAGGACTAGACAATTATAATGGTTTTGCAGGGTGAGATAGTGACTCAGAACGCGTGTATCGTCCTACTTTAGGACTCATCATTCGAATACATCCGCATCGAAATATTGATGTTCAACAGACACACAGAGAGAATCGAATCCAGAACCTTTGTTTTCTAAAGACGTCAAAAACATTAGCCAATGAGCTACTACTGAGTCCAATCGGAAAACATTAACCCTTGGAAGTATTATTATTATTATCATTAATAGTAAACAATTTTGAAAATGCCGTTTTCTTTTATGCTATAGATATTTTTATTTTCAAACAATTAATTAACA